AGTTACGTATACCCTAGAAAAGTTAGTAGAGTTGTACGTCAACAACATAGTTAGACTGCATGGAATACCATTATCCATTGTCTTAGATCGGGATAGCCGTTTTACCTCCATGTTTTGGAAGAATGTACAAGAAGCCATGGGCTCAGAATTAAGATTTAGCACAGCTTTTCATCCTCAGACGGATGGACAGTCGGAACGTACCATCCAAACTTTGGAAGATATGCTTAGGGCATGTGTGATGGATTTTAAAGGAGCTTGGAATAGGAAACTATCATTGATTGAATTCTTGTATAACAACAGTTATCAAGCTTCAATCGGTATGCCACCATATGAAGCTTTGTATGGAAGAAAGTGTAGATCTCCCATTCATTGGTATGAAACCAGGGAGAAGCAATTGCATAAGACGGAATTCATTCAGGAGGCGGTAGAATCTGTCCAGAAAATCCATCAAAGAATGAAGACGGCGCAGGCCCATCAGAAAAGCTATGCTGATAAGCGTAGAAGACCCTTGGAAATTATGATGTGAACAACTAAAATGAGAAAGTAGAACAAAGAATGTAATGGAAGAAGAAGAACATAAGCCATACATGTTTTGTAGCACAGAATGTATTATGATATATGACATGAATGCATATATGGGTATGCATAATTATTGCATCTGTTATGACCTATTGATACTTGCTGAGCGAAAGCTCATTAAGTTTGTTCGTGATGTAGGAAGCTCGGGTAAGGCACCGGCTCCCTGAAACTTGTTGTTGGGCATGCAGAGAGGATGCATCAGTGGAGTGTGGGCAAGTGGGTTATCGATGCATCACTTGTTTTGGAAACGCTGCCAAACATTATGTGTAAAATAAAATAGTGTTTTATGTATTTTGATGAGTAATGTAACAGAATGCCGTCGGAATGCTACATCATTTTAGGTATGACTAATATAACAGAATGTTGTGAGAATGCTACAGCATTTTGAGAATGACTAATGTACAGAATGTTGTTAGAATGCTACAACATTTTACGAATAGTTGAAAACAGAAGGCTAGCTAAATGCTACAGCATTTAGACGTACATTGTAAGAATGAAAAAAATTGGCCTGAATTTTAAGAGGTTATAATTAGTAAGTATTAGAGGTTAAGTAATGTTAAGTATGAGTATAGGATGACGATCAAAGGTTAGGGTCGTCACATGTGATCATTAAATTCAAAATCTAAGATCAATAATTACATTAAAATTTAATTCGGAAAGGTCTGCAATCCCTATGTTTGGTATTCAATCTCAAAATATTTCCTATCTCAAGAATGTGTACTAAAACCGTGCACCTTCCTCAATCATGGGCCTAATTTTCAATTTTGGTCCAAAACTGTGAATTCCCATTGTGTTCGGTTTCTATACATCACCGATTATCGAATCGATTTACTTTTCACCTCTTAATCCCTTATTCCTCATGAAAACTGGTTTAGCTCAAAATGCTCAAACTAAATTTCGGCAGAGTTCCGCCTATTTTTCTAGGTTTCCTGAGCTAACTTTAGCTTGGTTTATCCGTTGTTTCCACCATCAAACACAATTCTCATTCTTTCTCTTCCAATTACACCATCAATATCATGATGACTTTAGGGTTTCTTCATATCAATATTTGCTAGAAACAAAAGTTCAATAACCTAGAATTTTTCCTTAATTTACTAGATTTCAAGTTCCCTAACCATCACAAGCAAATCACCATTCTAAGTAAATTTTTTTCCATGGTCTCCTATACTTCCATGGCAGCCAAAGAAGAGGAAATAAGAAGAAAAACTTGAAATCTCACCTTAGGGAATGAAGAACAAGCTTCAATGGCGCTATTCCCCGGTAATTCCGTCAATTTTCGCTTAAATCACACTTTTTCTTACTTTGGTGAATTTTTTTTTTCTCTCCTTTTCTCTTGGCTGGTGCTCTCTGTTTTTCTTGCATGAGAAATGATCATTTCCTTGTGTTTCTTCATTAATAAACCGACCATCCTAAAACGCAAGGGTTCAAATTGTAATTTTGACTTTTTCCAAGGACTAGTTTGCAAGAAAAGTCAAATTTTTTTCTTTCTCCATTAAGACTTTGGCCGGCCACCTCCTTCTTCTCACTTTTCATGTGTCAAAATCTAATCCTTCCATTCTTTTATCACTTTTAATCTCAACCTTTGATTGATTTAATAATTATCCTATTTTAATTCAGCTTAATTTCCTGTCCAGTGCGCGTTTTATCTGCGTTTTCGGACAGTTGGTCAACTTAGTCAACTTTGACCATTCTTGACTAACTTTTTGAGGGTGACATTTTGGTCAACTCTTGGTCAACAAATTTTGACTCGGTCTACTTAAATCAGTCGAAATCCCAATTTACGCGATTCGGCCTTTCGAACCCCTTTTTTCGTCTATTTTTCGTTCCGATTGTTTCTAAAACTCTAAAATTGATGTCTTTCAACTTTTTTCCATTTCTTGACTTTAATATTCACGTGATTACCTACTTGTGGGTTTAACACAACGTTCCATACTTCTTTCTTGAACATAGTTCAAAAATCCGTAACTACATCATAGTCTAGAAATTTTTGATTTTTAACTTATAACTTACTATTTAGTACTATTATCAACAAGTACTTGTCATAAAAATATTCATATTGATAATATAAAGGATTTTAAGAAATTTTATCTCATACAATAATTCCGATAAATTTTATGGCATGACAATAATTTTGGTAAATTTTCGGGTCATGACAAAACCTATAATGGAGAAAAGTCTGAGGGCATCTGAATTAGCTGATTAACATCCATCGGATAGCTATCGGATAGGTCAAAAGCACTGTATATTCTACTAGCAGTGATTTTGTTGAGAGCCTCTGTGGGATGGAAAGAGTCCCAAAATACGTACTCTCTCCTGTTTTCGCATGGCTTCTCTGATGGAACACATTGACCAACTTTATTTACGGCACAACATCCAACTTTCCAATATTTGAATCCTGAAAACCCATCGAGAAAAACATATAATATATACTTTTTTTTTTCTCTATTTCTTTCTTATATACAAAACGACATATGATATAATATATATTTGCTTTGTTAGATTAGTAATAATAATAAAAATTAGAAAAAAGGATGAAGTTTTGAGTGAGTGTATATGTACCAACTGCAGTAGGATCTCCACCGCCCATTCCGTAAGAGTTGATATAGATAAACTTTGCATCGGTAAGATTGGTATTGAGTTGGTCAACAAGTGTTAAAAGCTTGACATTGAAGAATTCGACTGCATTGTTCATGTGATCTACGCATGCAGATCCATTTGTGTTGTGTAAAGATAGTGAGTTGGGAGTGCACCCAATTCTTCCAATCCCCGCCAAAGCCACCTTTCTTGCTCCGTATTTGTACAACTTCTGGAATAATAATTAGAAGAAATATTGTAATCTTAAATATCAAAACTAGGCTTTGTTACATATTAACAACATGATCAACAAAACAAATCCTTCTTCTTTACCCGTTGTATTTTTCTATTCTTTACTTTTTCTTTCATTCTTACTAAACTGAGCATAAAGTTCCTGAAAAACATTGTATGGTAACAAGACTAGCTATATAGTTATGAACATTATTTTTGTCGCTAAAATTTGAATTATTTCAATGGGGAGAAAGCGAAATGATCGGCATTAAAAGATCAACTGACCAATATTCGGCGACGATATTGTTCGATGAGCAAAGAAGCGAACTGCTCCGGAGTGTAGATTTTGCTGCTGTTGTAAAACTGAGGAGAGTAGTAGTTGTTGATGTAGTCATTACTGCCCAATCCAACCCAATACAAGCACTTGTTTAGGTGTCGCCTCCTTAATTCTTTGTTTCCCAATATCTCTCCCATTTGAGACATCACAATCCGGTGATTCTGTAGCTGTCTAAAGAAGTACACATTCTCGCCCTGGGAATATTGTTCATGGGTGGTAAAATTAAGATCAATTATTTATCATGTGTTTATTTGTTTTATGCTTGAGTAATTAACTGGAAATCATTAATTACTTGTGCATAATGCATGGATTAAATACCAAATGACGCCCGGTTTCTTCGAGAATTCCGGCTGACCCGGATGCGTAATTCACGCCGTCGAGTATGTTGTTGGTGCCATCAGCAGTAGCAAAAGGTTGAATGAAATGGGTGAAACCAAGTAGTTCACCTGCATTTTTGAGATAGAAAATGAAAGAGATTGCTTAATATTAGAAAAGTGTTGTTTACTTTATGATGGTTTACTTCGTACTTAATCTAGATCATACTCTTAAGAATGTGAGATTATAAGGGGCAAAATTAATCTCCCTAAAGCTTAACAAGAACTAATAGGATTGATCTGTGCCTTCAAGCTTTTCACAATTTTTGAAAATTTCTTATTTTGACAACTAATTACCCTATAAATAATATATATATATATATTAGAGAGATTCCTTAAATTTAGGACGGCTATAAAATTTGAATAGAAATACCATTGATATTATGTGTCTGAAATACTCAGATAGCGTCGAAGCACATAATCATATCACGGTATGATCAGTCCATCTTTTTCCAAAATATTAACTCCTTTACTGATATATAGGATGCTCTGTAGCATTCTATTAAATTTAGGAAGTAATTTATCAAAATTAAAACTACAGATCACCGAAACTAAATTACCATTTTACTAAAAAATGATCAAGCAGCAAATATGCCAACAACCCAATATGAGATGAGATAAAAGTAGTGAATTAAAGGGTAACATATAGAGGAGGGAAAGTGTATATATATATATATATATATATATCCGTGTGTGTGTGTGTGTGTAAGAGCAAGTACCAAGAATATCAACTGTGGTTCGGCCGTTGGTAAACCTTCCTGTTGGACCACTTGGCATGTCAATCCCATAAGGTGAGTAGTTAACTTTGGCTAATGTAGCAAGCCGGTTGTTGTTTCCACTATCTGCAAGAGAGTCGCCAAATATGAAGAAGCATGGTACTTGTTCCTCAGCTTTAACGCAATAATGTTGTTGTTGCATGTTTGTTATCAAACACGCAACAATCACCACAAGCCATATTTTCATCTCCCTACAAGCCAATATTGCAATATTGAAACTTTATTAATTAGAAGAAAAAGAAAATTGTATTTATGTAATTTTGAGCCTTATCAAAAACAACGTGCAACAAAAATTTAGTTTCCCCGAATAACAAAACTATAAAAAAAAAAAAAAAATGTTAAACTCTAATGAGAGATGGTTATGCTCATGATTTGTTTTCTTAAAACCATCAATAACTAGCATAATCCACATTATCATAAAATTTACTATGCACCAAAAGGGCTCACGTACAACTCAAAATATGTATAGATTAACCTCTTAAGATTGAGAATCACCTAATATGGTAATATTTTTGAAGGTGCGTGTTTCTTTACGGAGCAATATGTTCTGATATAATATGTATATGTGTGTATATATATATATATATTTATATGTACATGCATATTTGAACATAAATCATATATTTCATACCATATATCTCAATCTATCCAAGTGAATCATCATTGTCAAAAGGAATAAAACAAGAACCTGTACTTACCGGTACATCCGAGAATAAATATTACCGTCAAAAAGCTTGTGTTTTTTTTTTTTTTTTTTTTTAAAAAAAAAAAATGGAAGATTCAAGGATAAAGCACAGATAAATCCAAGGTGAAATATGCAGGACCCTCCAGACAGCATAAATTTTAAGAATCAAAAGTTCGAGGAGAGACAAAAAAGAGATTCTAGTCACTCAGGGTGTCTTAATCCTTGTTTTGCCTGTCAAAAACAATGGAATGGAATGGAAGAGTGCACGAAGGCCACGGAAAAATTGTACGGACAAGTAGCGGCTTCTCCTCAAGGCAAGTTAAGCCGTTGCTTAGGACCGCTCTTGTAGGAAGGCCTTAAATTTTTCTCTTTTGAAGCCTATATTTTAGCTTCTATAATATTTCAAAAAATATAAATTTAATATCATCTTATAATTATTTAATTTGTTAGATTTATTTTTGGGTACTCAAAAATACATTAGTTTTGTTTCTAAAAATAATAAAAAAAAAACAGATACATTAGTTTTGTTGTTCATAAACTTCCGGGTGGATACTTAAAACGTCAGCAATTATAGGGATATGTTTTTCTTTTTATACGATATGATGATAAACTTGATCCTAAATAAAAGAAAAGAAAAAAAAATTGCATGGCTTTTGCACTTCTCAGTCTCTTTTTTCTTAATTTAGAAAACTATCTGTTTTCTTCTTTTTCTTCTCGTATTTGCATAATATTTTTTTCTTCTCAATATAAAAGATCTCTCATCTCTCTGAAGCCTTTCAACTTTCTGACGTCTCAAGACTGGGGTACTCTACTCTCTTGTCAATATGCGATCTATCGCTTTCAACAAATGAAAAAACTTGTATAAGAGGAAAGAAAAGAAAAATTCATTTGAAAATAGAGAAAATTAAAAACAAGCCATTGAAAGACTTCGTGCAGAAATATTACAGTAGAAATTTTATTTTTTATTATTGTTGCGTTATGTTGCATTGATTTAGTTATTTTAGAAGGTATCATTTTGTAATTATTTTGGGTCGGTATAAGACCATTCACCTTGTTTTTATTTCAATGCATAATATTCCATACAAAAAAAAAAAAAAAAAAAATGTCCGTTCCAATAAGCCTTTTTTACAAATTTGCATAAGGCCTCAAGATAGTACGAAGCAGAATATTCAAGGACAAACAAGGCAATTAATGTCACTAAAAGGTGAGGCTATACATATTAAGCCAATCCTTAACTAATTGCTCATAAAAGTCTCAAAATGTTGAAGTAATTCATCCCTATTAACTAGTTTCTTTTTCATTTTCATTTTCCTTTATTGTTTGGCAAACTTATTGTTCCGTAAAACCGAATTCTAATAAGGCCTCTTGATTGCAATTTGTAGGTTTTGTTATTTAAGATTTATAGATTTATCTTAAGCAAATCCCATAAAATTATGAAGAGCCAGCATTAGCAAAGTTTTATTGTTAATAAATTGAATGCTAATTATTTCTTTTGCCTACTGAAATACTTGGCAATTTTTTTTTTCCAATTTTAGAGTTGGACAAGTCAACTCCATTAAAGTTTGAGTTTCCCTTGCCAAACACACATTTGGGTTGTGGGCTTCATTCGGATAGGAAAAATTAGTTTAATAGGTGAAACGTCATTGTTTTAAAACACTAACTCAAAGTACGAAAATGATATTTTTAAAAACTATACCTTTTTAATATTTAATATTTTTCAAAAAGTAAGATAGTAATAGGACGTTTCATTAAAATACAGGTACTAAATGATCAAAACCTTTCTTTTCTGCATTAATAATGTTCTAATTTTGTAGATAATATGCCAAGCTAATTAAGATTATCTTTCTTGTCCACCACGTGCTTTACTTGAGCTTAAGGCATATGCACATGTAAGTATATGATGACATTATTCAACGAATGGGCCAGAAACATGTTTCCGCATTTTCTTGATCATTCAAAAGAAAGATGTTTCTGCCACAAAGATGAGGCAAAAGAAAAAAAAAAAGTTGTATAATAAGTTGTCCCTTTCAAGTAAGCCGAAAGAAAATGTATATATATGTGTTAACTTTCTCAATAATTAGGGACTTGTGATTGACCGATGTCGATGTGATGTCCGTGGCGAGTACTTTTGATAATTTGTTGAATTACAAAATGGCTGAATGATTTTTGGTATGTTTGAAAATCATCAAAAGACATTAATAAGAAAACGATGTAGTGCTATTTCCATTTGCTTTTCAAACCATGAGAGCGGTTAGTTTCGTTAATTCGAATTACAATTTAAGTTTTTATTACAGTATTTTTTTTATAAAAAAATTCAAATTCAACTTTTTATATTATAGCATTTTCTCTTATGTAAATTCATTTTTCAACTCAAATTCTCAACTTGAATTAACGAAACAAATAGAGGTAAATGGAGAATTAGATCACACATTGTCATCTATGCTGGCAAAAAATTAGGAAATAAAAATGACAAATGAAAAAAAAAAAGCTGATATTTTGATCGTTAGGTACCAAAAATATAGGACCCCGAATTATTGTGGGAGCGCAATTCCCAGTCCAAAAGCTACTGTTTTCAAGTCTTCTTTCGTTAGATTATTTTGTCAAAAAAAAAAGAAAAAGATATTGCTTCTTATGAAAAGTAAATAATTAAATGAATAAAAGACTTTTTTTTCTGAATTGTTAGTTATAAGTGTAAGACGTACGTTGGACTTTATTATCAATTATGATGCAACAACAAATATACACCAAAGTTTCTTCCGTGCAATAATTTTGTTTTTTGCCTCTCTCTCTCTCTTCAAAGAAAAAAAAAATCTGAACTTGTAATATTGAATGAACAATATTATAATTTTCCAATTCGATAAAAGTCGGCAGTTTTATTATTTTCATTATTCATTAACACAACCACATTATAACTTTCAATGACGATATTACTGAAAACTAGATAGAGAGAAGATATTTGTTTAGGAAACGTTAATTAATCAATAATTACCAGTACTGAGCCAAATCTGCAATTTGAGCACTAATTCCACCAAGTCCAAACAACTGAACAAGGCTAGAGATATCCATGGGATAGCAGTCTGATGGGTCATAAGCATTGTACACTCTTTTAGCAGTAATCAAGTTTAAAGCCTCTGTTGGATGGAATGAGTCCCAAAATACGTACTCATTCCTGTTCTCACATGGAGTTTTATTAGGAACACATTGACCAGTATTGTTGTTCACAGCACAACACCCAACATTCCAAACCTTAAATCCTGAAAAAAAAAAAAAAAAAAAAAAAAAATTATGTGCATGTTTAGCGCTTATTTCTAAAGAATGAATTGCACAATTATAACGTAAACATGTTCATGTTACAAATATATATTTTTTTTTTGAAGGTGATGTTACAAATATTTACAACATATACATGTTAGTCATATGAAAAATATACTTTTCTTGATATTTCTTTTAGTATTGAGGGATTAAAATGTAAGGTTCATACTAAGAGTATGTTTTACCAGCAATTGTAGGATCTCCGGATCCCATTCCATATGAGTTAACATAGATGAATTTCACGTCGAGTAAATCGGTGTTCAGTTGATCGACGAGTGCGATAAGCCTCTGGTTGAAGAACTGAGCCGCGTCGTTCATGTAATCCACGCATGCTGAACCATTTGTTCCATACACGGAGATGGAATTTGGAGTGCACCCAATTTGTCCCACTCCAACCAGGGCAAACATTCTTGCTCCATGACTGTACAATTTCTACATATAACATTATGTGTTGCAAACAAAAAAGCTAGGTAAGTGAAAATTTGTTGTGAGAGATCAATGGACCAAAATAACCATTAAAGATATTAAATTGAATTAGATAGTACTAATTACCATTACATGCCGCTGATAATTTTGGATAAGAAGAGCAGCATACTGTTTAGGATTGTAAAGACTACTAGAGGGGTAGATTGAGGGAATGTAATAGTTGTTAATGTAGTCATTGTTTCCCATTTCAACCCAATATAAGCACTTTTCTAATCTCTCTTTGGCTAATCTTTTGCTGCCTAGTACATCAGCAATACGAGAGACTGTAATCCGGTGATTATTTAACTGTCTCCTTAAGCTGATATTGTTACCCTGCAAAACAAAACTAATTTATTCATATCTATATGTGGAGCTCACCTTCAATTAGTGATGGTGTTTAACACTAGTGGTGCTATCAAGTATTTTTCATGATTGAGTAGCGCATATATATCTATCATATAGAAAGATACACATTGCAAAATTCCTATATATGTTTAATACTGTGATAAATGTAGTTGGTCAAAATTACTTGAATGTGTGAATCTTTTATATTAAAGTACCGCATGTTTTCCTGTGGCTCTTAGAATCCCAGCTGCCCCAGATGCATAATTGACGCCTCCGAGTAAGTTGGAGCTATTAGCAGTAGCAGAAGCAAAAGATGGAATGGGATTTTCAAAACCCAGAAGTTCAGCTGTGTAATAATATCGAAAGAGAAACAAATCAAAGAAGAAGAAGAGGATAAAGTCCTCCTTAATTTTCTAATATTGTGTTGTAAAACCATAAAATAAACTGAGAATAATAAGGTAAATATTAGAGTAACTATTATTATATATTATATATACACATATAAGAGCTAAAATTAGTCATAGATACATAAAAGAAAGGATGTAAAAATTAAGACCAAGTATGTCCACGGTGGTTCGGCCGTTGGTAAACCTTCCAGTTGGACCATCTGAGAAGTCAATCCCATATGGTATATAGTTGGCTTTTGTCAAAGTAGAAAGCTGGTTATTGTTTCCATTGTCAGCGAGAGAATCTCCAAAAATGAAGAAGCAAGGTACTTGGGGCTTTGCACAAACACAAAAATCATGTAATTGCATAGTCGAAACCACCAAGCTCAGAGCAAACACTAACAACCATGTTTTAGCCTCACAAGTTGTGCCTGCCATTAATTATATAAGCTGCACTCTAGAGAGAGAAAGAGTTATATATATATATATATATATGTTTATATATATTGATGTGTGTATATTGTGAGCCAAATTGATGAAGATATTTTTGCTCCAGCAGACGACAGTGAAAGCTGTGGAACACGAGTTATGGGCATTTATAGGCGCCAGGAAATGGTCACCATGAATTTCGTGGCTCAAAATAGTGCGTAAACTGTTGCCAGATAATGAATGAAAGAAATATGAAACCCAAAAAAAAAAAAAAAAAAAAAAAAAAACGTGTATGTACAAATTTGCATGTGTAATATTGTACTACTTTTATGAAGACAACATTATTTGATTTGTTTTCCGTGAAAATTATTCACTTAGTCTTGGACTGACTTGTGGGCTACTACATACGATATAATGTCTCCAATACACGTACAGTTAGAATTGAAGAGAAACAACCAGCTAATAATAGTACGTCATTATATATGCATGTTAGTAACGTCATCTCTTTTATTTATGTTTTTCGTTACACAAGAATTGTACTATAAGTACATACCTAACTAACCGTGAAATATTAGGATATACCGAAGAATTGCCATCAACATAGTTCTATGCATGTATTTTTTCAAGTTTAAGAGTATGTTTAGCATTACTTTTAGAGGCTATTTTTAGCTTTTTTCAAAGAAGTTATAGCATGGTAGGGGTATGATGAATCATGCTTTTGTTCAACAACTTTTAAAAACTACGTCAAACAGCATAATTTGATAAGCATGTTAAGGTTGTTTTTGCACAGTAACTTTTGTTGTCATTATTCAAATTTACAAAGATAACCTTAATAATAAAACTTAATTCTCAATATACCTATTTTACTTATTTAATACCAAATTAAAAACTATATATTTTTTAAATAGTTATTTAAAAATTGAAAATCTATAATAAGTATGCTATGCAAAATTTCATTCAAATATCGTTTATAATTATCAAAATATTTAAAAATATAAATAATAAATATTAGTAGATGAATTGTTTTTCTCCTTGAATAAAAGTAATTTATTTTTAAGAACTATTTTAATTAATAAATTTGAAACATATATTTTTTATATTGTGAATATTGACCATAAAAAATTGAAATAAAACTAACTATAAACATGTGTGATAAAGTATGTCTACTTTCGTCATTATACATTTCAACAACAATTTTATATAAAGTTTACCAAACACCTAAATTTCTGCTTCTGGTACTCATAACAGCTTTGTAAATATATTTACCAAACACCTATATGTTTTTTGTCACAGTAACTTATTACTAACAACATAGTAACAACAAAAATTTTCAATAGCACAACAGTGGGAAACTAGCCCTAAGTACCAATCAGAAATTAAAAAACGTAATATTTGACTTGCTTAGCAAGAAAGAGCTCATATTAGAAAGTAAATTAAAAATAGGTCTATAATTAGCAAGTGTTTATAAAAATTGTTCAAAAATAAATAAAAATAGACAACAGTCCAACACAAAGTCTCTGAATATGCGTTTTTTGTTTATGAACCTCGCTTAATTAACACATTTAGGTCATGTGGTGTTTCGTGGTTTGGACCATAGTTTAATCCTTTTCGCTACAATATTGTTTTTTCTCATAAGAATTTAAATTTGATTCAAACTTTCTAATCTGAACATATGAACCAAACAACATCTTAACTTATGATCAAGAACAAATTTGTAATTGGCATACTCATCCTTCTTACGGCCATATGCTTCACACTATGATATCACTGTTTTAAAAAGGAACCAAAAAAAGCCTTCAAGAAAATAATTTTCTGTCCTTGAAAATAAATTGTGAAACAAATGAGAAAATTACAAAAAAAATTAATAAAGTTAGTGAGTAGTCAACCCAGGTGTAGAGCTACTATATGCCCGAGGGCTGGCTTTCACCCTAGGGCCCAAAAGTTCTTAATATTTGATTGTAAATCTAGTTGTAATATTAGGGGGCTGGCTAAACCCTAAATCTAGTCACCGCAGTTATTTTAAACGCTAACTGCTCTCTCCCTCTCTCTTTCTCTTTCTCCCTCGCGAGTTGTGCTAGGGATTTTTGCCTACTTTTTCTCTTACGGTCAGAGTCTGACGGCAACACTCGTCTGGCCTTCGGATCCCATCCCTAAAGATCGACTTCTTGGCGTCATGGTGAAGCCTCTGGTGACGGGCTGGTCGGCGTGGTCAGAGGGCTTAGTATTGGCGGGGCACACTGGTTTTTTGGCCTTTTTGAAAGGAATGGATCTCTAGCGACTCTGTGTCTATTGAGTTCTATCCCCTTCATTGAGGCAAAGCAGGGAGTCAGATATGTTCATTGGTTAGGGCATGGATTTGGAGGGTACTCACTTTGTTGCGGGTTTTATCAGTGCAAGACGACGGCAGCCTCCAGAGGGTGTTCATCATTGAGGGTTTTGTTCCCTGTGTTGTGATAATTCTTCTAGAGAGGCATGTGTCGGGTGTGGTGGGCTTAGTGGCGGCACGTGGCTTGAGGCGCAGGAGTGGTGGCTTTTCAGCTGTGATGTTTCTCCCTTCTTAAAAATTTATATTCTCTGACCCTTTCAGTTGTGTGAGTCGCCTTTGTGATCGGTTGATTTTTCTATTTTCGGCCATTTAGGTTCTATGTTAAGTTCATAATAACATGGGTGATTTTTCATCTTTTGTTTTTATTTGTGTGTCTAACTCGCTTGAGTTTGTTATTGTCAGTGTTGTACATATGTTACCATTGGTTTACAGGTATCTTAGTCTCGATCCATCAGAGCTTTCTATCAATTATAGAGAATTTGCTTAAAGAGCCATTTTTATGCTTGATTGTCTCTGTTCCTTTTCATATTTCCATTGTTGAAGCTTGGTGCACATATATCCCCTTTAATGTTTTATTAGAACTTACTAGTGATATCGATCAATGATTGGAGTTAAGTCTATTTGTAATGTGAGGTCATAAATGTCAACATTAATGTTTGTATTGTTAGATCCTTAATCTAATATTGGACTTATATGTGAATAATTATGTGTTACAGACTATCATTTAAGGTATATAAGGTTAAGCCCATTTAAAAGTGGTTTACTAAGGTTTTGGTAATTTGGGCTTTAATGTATCTGATAGGCTGTGGGCCTTCATTGTGTAAAGACTTAAGGGTAATTTATATTTTTATGATGTGCTAATAGAAATACCAAAAGATAATAGGGGAGTTATCTATATACAGTTGTTATGGTATCACACGTGACATTCTATTCTTTCTGGCATCCTATCATCAGAGAGAGTGAAGTGAGAAAGCTAAAGGATTCTCTAAGAAAATGTGTTGATCTGGAAGACAAACCGCACGGCTCTAGAGAATAATTTATTGTCATGGATTCAGGAACGCTTCCGCTTATTAATCTATTGATTCTTGGTGATCCAACATAAATATTTCTTGTATTTTAAGAGATGTTTTACATCAAATGATATTTTTCAATAAGTGGTATCAGAGACTTTTCATGTTGAATCATTGAGAATCGAATTTATTTTCGATCCATGATTATATTTTAGTGTTCTCGAATTTAACAATTTATGGTTTGGTGTTGCTGGATTTGAGAACAATTTTGGTTGTTCTTCTTGTGGTTTTCTTCCATGATTTTGGATGAAATTTATGCAAAATTGGTCATTATAGTTTCAAAATTTTTTAGGCAATTTGGGTTAATTTTTAACCAAATAAGTAAATTGGCCGGCAGCAACCTTTGTTGGCCGCGCCGGCAGGGACAGCAGCAGCCAAGTATAAAAAAATTTAAAAAAAAATAATGGCAGCCTAAGGCTGCCGAAAGAAAAAAATTGGTAGTTTTAGCCGGTGGCAACCCTTATCGCCACTAGTGTCGGGTGTTACCGGCCTGTAACGCATTCTAAAATTAAACATGTTTAATTATACTAAATTGTGAGTTACTAGTGTACCTAATTTGATTTTTCTAATTAATCAAGGAACTTTAATTATTTTCAATATTTATGATTTCACCCCAAAAGTTTTTAAAAATACACTTAATTTTAATGTATTTTGTTTTTCTTTCCCTTTATTTCTTTTCTTTTTCCTTTTTTTCTTTTTTTCCCTTTTTTTTTTCTTCCCTTTTCTTTTTTTTCTTTTTCCCTTTCCCTTCCTTCCCGTGGCTGCCTAGACCACTCTCCCTCTTTCTTTCTTTCTTTCTTTCTTTTTCTTTTCTCTCTTCTGTCACTCCCACAGCAGCTCTCTCTTTCTCTTCTACCACCTCTCACCGGCTGGCCATCTCTCTCTCTCCCTCTCTGGCCAGTTTCTCTCTCCCTTGCTCTCTCTCTCTCTCTCTTAGAGTCCCTACCGAAACAGGGAAGAGAAAAAAATGAGAGAAATAGAGAGAAATGAGCTTCAATCACTTCACTACAACAATTATGCCCACTTGCGACGACTTTTTTTGCGACGACTTATGTCGTCGCAAATAATACACTATTTGCGACGACATGTCGTCGCAAATACCTCCCGTTAAATAAAATACACATGTCGTCGCTAATAACTTCAATGTTGTCGCAAATAATATTGGCACGCAAATTTCGATGGCGCGGATTTTTGGCGCCAAGGTAATCCATGTTTTTCCGACGACAAGCAGCAACTATTTGCGACGACACGTCGTCGTAAATAGTTTTGGATTATTTGCGACGACATTGTTTCAATGTCGTCGCAAATAATCTAGGTGACGAGAAAGTATACGCGGGAAAAAAAGGTTATTTGCTACGATGTTTGTATTAATTGCGACGAAAATGTCGTCGCAAATATTTTTTTATTTGCGACGACATTTTAAATTTATTTGTGATGAATTTGTCGTCGCAAATAACTGTGACCTAATATACTCTTCTTCTTCTTCTTCTTCATTTTCTCCCGACTCTCTCTCTCTCTTTCTCCTGCAAAATCTCTCTCTCTCTCCTGCAATATCTCTCTCTCTTCCTCCTTTTTCCGTCGCCGTCGCCGCCGCCGCCGCTCCCGCTACCGGCCTTTCTTCTCTCTCTTCCC